TTTTTTTTTTTTTTATTTTGGCCATTTTCCAAGATTAGGTATTAGTGAGTTAATAAGCACAGTAGACAGGCATTGCGCAAATTTTGTAATTGTTAAGATTAGTTTTAATAAACAATCCGAGATAAAGCATTAAAAAAAATATAAAAAAATCAAAAATTTGAATAAGAAAAACATGATAACTGATAATTATATCGCAGATATTCATATAAATAAATAAAAATTGTCACATTATGGATAAATTGAGGGGAACACTATGATACTTTTATTTATTGATTAATTAATTCTCGATGACTTACACTGTGGGTTACTTTTTTCTATGATGCATTAGATTTTTTCAATAAATCTTAGATATTCTCGCGTCGCTGATTTCAAAGAAGAACTCACTCATAAGATGATCTTGGATAAACGTTATTACTGATTAGTTTTTAGAAGCAAATACAGGTTTCTTTTTAAAAAAATCTGCATACTTTACGAGAAAAACACAATTGATATAGTAAAATAAAGACAAATTTGATTTTAAACATTAGTTGTATTTATTTGTAAGAAAATGAGTCCAATAATAATAATGAAATTAAAACGAACTGGTACAATTTTTCTAAAAGGATTTCGTGTTATAATATTTAAAGTAAACATAAATAAAACTCAATGTATTAAACAATTCGTATTTACCAATCACTCGTCATTGTGCAAAAAATAAATTTGTCATACGAGATATTTCTCTCGTAATGTCCTCTTAAAAAAGTCAACTGCTGAGAAACTTCTAATATGTCAGTGTTTCCTAAAGTGTGGTACGCGTACCCCCAGGTATACGGGAGTAGTTTAGCGGAGGTACGCGTTCTTATGCGAAATATCTCGCAACAAAAGAAAATTTCAAAAAATTTTATTTAAAAACAAAGCCAGCCATGAAAATTTACGACTACGTATTTTTCTATTGGCCATTTTTTGCAGAGTTAACAGTTAATAATTAGTGGCATCAACAGCTAGTTGTGATTTTTAACTTTTGTGCAATTTCTTATTGTTAAAAATGGATTAATTTTTTTGGTAGTGCTACACAGCGCTACGAAAAATTTAGAAAGGGTACACAAAAGTCATAAGTTTGGGAAACACTGTAGTATGTGATAATGCTAAATTTTGAAATGTGTTGATGATCCATTTTGTTTTCAAATTGTCATTTTGATATCCACTAAGATAAAATAAAAACAGCTGCTTTTGATTAATCATCATCCGCTTTTCCGATGACTATTGCATTTGCGCGAAACAAATATCTCTACCAAATAATCGGTAGTCAAAATTCACTGCATAAAAGCTTTCAATTGCGTCCTAATTGTACAATCTGTAGTTCATCGTCCCGACCGGAGGGCATTCCAGATTATCAAACCTTCCCTTCCATAACAATCAATTTCTTAGACAATGGATGGTATGTCCAGAATCTCGGGTTCGCTCTATACATAAAAATATCAACCGGAGACACGCCACTTACACGCCTTCCAATACAAACAAAATCAGCTATTATGGAAAAGATAATTGTAAGACACAAAACCCTGCTGTAGTGTTTTCTCTGAGAAGGGAATTTTCTGCCACGTCAGCTCTTTTATAGTAAATCCTATTTTTCTTTGAATTTATTTAACTTTTTATGTCGCGTTCAATAAACAACAGTTTAGTGCATATTTTTTCTTTAATTTCTTGTTTTGATGTTCCTTATTCGGTTTTAGAAGCAGGCAATGCCACGCAATATATTTTTCATTCTAATTCAAACATTTAATATGCAAACATTTAATATACCGACTATAATGCAAATAATCCTTGAGTGAAAAAGATAATTATTTTGGAATTTTTGGTAAAAGAAACAAATAAATATCTAGATCATACGCACCTGGCTGATTTGTTATCACAGCTTCCCTGGGTATTGAATTAAAATCATCAGACATACTTTGAATTTTGCGTTAAGGTTTGACCATAGAATCACTTTGAGAAAAGCTCAATTCGTTAGTACTTCATTGACCTTTAAAAAAATTACATAAAAAAGGTCTTATTATAGAAAATAGCATTTGAACATTGTGCAACTAAAAATGGAACGCTTTGAATAACTTCCGATCTATTGATCGG